GGGCTGGTGGCTTTCCACATCACGCTGCTGGAGAGCCCTGAGAAGGTACCGGGCACCGGGGTGTGGTGGGGTGAGCTGTAACGGGGGGCAGCGGGGCCCAAACATCGTCTGTCCCCCCCCAATCCCAGGGTTTGCTGGAGACACCAATTTTCACCGACACGGTGGTTTTCCGAGTGGCTCCGTGGATCATGACCCCCAACACGGCAGCACCGCTGGAGGTCTTTGTCTGCAGGTGGGTGCTGAGGGAGCAGCCGCATCCTGTCTGGTGCTGGATCAGCCCCCACATTCCATTTTTCTTCCCAGTGTGGAAGACAATGAGGATTTCGTGGCGGCTGTGGGTGCCCTGGCTGAGAAAGCCAAATGCCGGCTCACCGTCTGCCCACCGCTGGAGAACCGCCAAGACCGCTGGATCCAGGTGGGTGCAGGATGATGCCCAGCCCCACCCTCGCTGCAGCAGCTCCATGGGGGGACATGGCTCTCCCCATCTTCTCCATCCCTTCTCCAGGACGAGGTGGAATTTGGCTACGTGCAAGCCCCCCACAAGACCTTCCCTGTCGTCTTCGACTCGCCCCGCGACCGGGGGCTGAAGGATTTCCCCGTCAAGAGCATCCTGGTACCCGACCCCTTCCTCCTCCCTTCCCCAGCAAGGTGTAAAGCTTTGCAAACACATAAAAAAATCAGAATGAATCAATTTTTTCCTTGCATTTTTGGGAAGAGCCAGCATGGGGGGTGATTTGAGAGCACTGCATTTCGGGTGCTTACAGCATATTTTTGATCATTATCAGCTCTTTTTTAACCATTATCACTTTTTTTTCCCCATCCAGGGCCCTGATTTTGGCTACGTGGCCCGGCAAGCCCCGGAGGGTGCTTCCAGCCTCGATTCCTTTGGTAATTTGGAGGTGAGCCCGCCTGTGACGGTGCGGGGCAAGGAGTACCCCTTGGGCCGTATCCTGATCGGCAGCAGCTTCCCCAGGTGAGATGCAGGATGGAGGGATCACCGCATTGGGGAAAAAAACCCCAAACCCCAACCCCCGAAAGGCTATTTATGCACCATTTGAGGTTGCTTGCAAGCAGAGCATCACCTTGGGCGCCCCAAAACAGCAGTGCCCCCTTCCTTGTGTGCCTCCCAGATTCGGTGGCCGGCGGATGGCGAAAGCCGTCAAGGATTTTCTCATCGCCCAGCAAGTGCAGGCTCCGGTGGAGCTGTTTTCCGACTGGCTCCACGTCGGCCATGTAGATGAGTTTCTCAGCTTCGTCCCCGCGCCCGATCGGAAGGTACCGAGCCCCATGGGGGGGGAAAAGTGGGGCGCAACCTTTGTACCCCCCCTCATACCATCCCTTTCTTCCTCCTCAGGGTTTTCGGCTGCTCCTGGCCAGCCCCAGCGCCTGCTACCAGCTCCTCAAGGAGAAGCAAGAGGAGGGGTTTGGCGAGGCAGCAATGTTTGAAGGTAGCAGGGAGGCTGAAAAATGGGGCTCGGTGGGTTGGTTTTCCACTTTTTCCTGCAAAATGCAACGGGGTGGGTGAATGCACGGCACCCCAAAACCCTGCTAATGGCTGGGAAGTGCTGCCGGCAGCATGGAGCAGGGGCAGAAATAAGCCGAGTTAATTAAAAAGCTGCAGAGATTTGATTTCCTGGGTTGGGATGGAGCTGGCTGAGCCCTGAAATGGGGGAGCTGCTGGCTCGGATGCGGGAGGTCTTGTCCCAGACGTGTTGGGGGAAGAATCCCGGCCCGGTTACTTGTGCTGCAGGACTGGAGGGGGTGCCCAAGCCAACGATAAATGAGATTCTGGCTAACGAAGGCCTCCGGAAATTCAATAATTATGTCCAGGTGAGGAAGGGGAGCAGGGGACTCCTTTCCAGCCTTGCCTGTCCCTCTGTCTGTCCCTCCATCCCTCTGTCCAGCCCTCCAACCATCCACCCATCTGTCTGCCCATCCACCCATCTCTCCCTCCCTCCATCTCCCCATCCCTCTGTCCCTCCATTTGTCCCTCCATCTTTCCACTCATCCCTCTGTCTATCTGTTTGTCCCTCCGTCCCTCCACGCACCCCTCCCTCCCCCCGGCACCGCCACTGACTCCCCCCTGGTTTCTTTGCTCTGTGTCCTCCCCCTTCCCCGACCCCCGGACCGGGGGAATTTGGGGTGAGGTTTGCGCTCTCACCAGCCCCCTTGTGCTGCAGGTGAACATGCTGGTGCTGGGCAGGCACCTGGGCATCCCCAAGCCCTTCGGACCGCTGGTGGGTGGGCAGTGCTGCCTGGAGGAGCGGGTGCGGGCGCTGCTGGAGCCCCTGGGCCTCACCTGCACCTTCATCGACGACTACTTCTCCTACCACGTCCTCTCTGGCGACGTCCACTGCGGCACCAATGTCCGGCGTAAGCCCTTTGCCTTCAAATGGTGGCACATGGTGCCCTGAAGCGGCCTCAGCACCAACCTTCCTCCTCCTCCCCAAATCCCCCTCCCCATCCCTGCAAGTGCCTTCAGCAGTGGTGGCCCTGGGCCCGAGTTTGAAATAAAAAAGGGCTGCAGCTTTCTTCTGGCCTCCCTCTGGCTGGGTGCAAGGTTTGAAGCTTTGTTTTAAACGGGAAGATGTTGTTTTGGTTTTTTTTTCACTCTCCGGGTGACACTTTGCGGTGGTACCGCACATGGGCATTGCTCTCCCAGCACAGCAAGAAAAATCAAAATGGTTATAAATGGCGGGTGTGTGTGGAATAGGTGCTGAATTATACAGTCCTCGGTCTTGCTGCAGTGATGCATATGCAAAAGATCATGTGCAAAAATACACGTGCATGCCCAAAAGTGCACCACGCATGCCAAGCAACGCGGGCATGAATGGATATGCATGTACAAAAAGGTGTGTGTGTGGCACAAAACCACGTGCACGCAGAGAAATGCACATGCGTGTGTGCAAAACCCCACACGTGCATGCACAGAAACACACAAGCACATGCGCACAGAAATACAGGCATGCAAAACCACCACACGTGTGCAGAAAACCCCAGCGTGCACACAGATGCAAGCACGGGAAGGTGCGTGCATGCACAAACCCACTTGCATAAAACTACATGTGCATGCACACAAATGCACATACATGTGCAACCCCCCCTACGCATGCACAGAAACACACACACATGGGTGCACAGAAATACATGCACGCAAAAACCCCACCTGTGCATGCAAACCCACCCCACCCGCCTGCAGAAATGCCAACACACATGCAGATGCATGCACCAAAAAGCACGTGCACCAACCAAACCTGCAAGCAGCCCGCACCCCCGCGCACAAAAAGCCGCACGCGGGCACAAACGCACGTGTCCACCTGCAAAACCGCAGGTGCACGCCCCGAATGCACACACGTGCATGCACAGAACCACGCGTGCACGTGTTAAAATGCAGAGCTATGCGCGCGCTGCCCTGCGTTTGCACCCTGCCTGCAAAATATGAAAGGGAAATGTTGCGGGGCGGGGGGGAGAATATTTTGGGATGGAGGATGCTGCCGGCAGCGGAACGGTGCCCTCTAATGGCTGTGGATTTGCTTTTCGGGATGCTGGGCGTGCATGGCAGGGAGGAAAAAGCACCCCTTGCACACACCCCTTTTGGTTAAACGAATTAAATTTAGATTAAAAACTGAAAAAATAGAGGGGGACAAAGCGAGCGGGGCAAGGGCTGTACACAATGACGTCGTTTATTTAAACATTTACTCCAAGAAATATAAAAAAAAAACCCCATGAGAAGACGATTACAGCACTAACCCAGGGCCCTCTCAGCTAAAGGACGAGTCGTTCCCAAATCCCAATGGATTGGGGTTATTTTCTTCCTCCAGCCTCCTCCTCCTCCGCTCACCCATGGCCGGGACAGGGTGGCTGAGGGGGGGAGAAGTTTAATCAGGCTAAAAATATTTTGCTGGCGGCCGGACGAAGCAAAATGCTGCTTTTTTGGGGGGGGGTAAAAGTGGGGTTTGGGTGATTTCTCCACCCCCTGTTTTATCAGGGCTGTGGCATCCGCTTGTGCCACAACCCCCAAACCCCTTATATTGCTAAAAAAGCGGAATATTCGACTTTTCCACCCAGCTGCTCTCCCTGTCTTGGATATTTTATCTCTAAAATTCCCCCCTCCCCCCCCCCGGCCCCGCCAAATAATCCTTGACCCCAAAGCAAATGAAAAAAACCCCCAAAAACCAAACACCCACCCCCTTTTTTTTTTTTTTTTCCTCCACACCCCCCC